ACATATAATTTTGTAGTTCCTACTACAGCAAGATTGTTTCCAGTGTAACTGATTAATTTTTGGTTTGATTCTTTAATGCTTGGTTGAAAATTAATCTTCTTCAATTGATTAAGATTGAGAATGTTTACCTGTGATCCTGTGTCTACCTTTAACCTCATTTTCTGCTTTCCGATTTTTGTACTGACATACCATTCATCATTTTGGACTTCTGACGTGATTGCTCCAACAAACAATGTTTCTTCAAGAGGTACGTCTTTTCCTCGCTCTACCGTCTCCACGTTTTTTCTAGACCTGCACATAGCTTTGAAATGATTCGATTTATGACAGCGACGACACGTTTTCCCATATGCTGGGCATTCTTTTCTCTTGTGTTTTGTCCCACAGTTACGGCAATTGAATACCTCTGACATAGATTTCTCTAGTTGATTATGTCTCTTCAAATTTTGCTCTTGAGCTTTTTTCTCATAGAATCTACTTCTTTTACTATTACTCTTTACACCGTGTACTGTTGACCCTTCATTTAATCGTTTTAATATGCAACTCCGCTTGTTCTGCGGCTCGAACCAAATCAAGTGCTTTGTCGAGGGTTAGGTCTGGCTCTCGAAGAAGTCGCTCGCGAATTTTCTGATTTTTCACACCTAGAACTATTCTGTCCTTAATGAGAGTGTTTCTTAATGTTCCAAATTCGCATGTGTCACTTAGTTTCTTCAATATTGTGACATACTGTTCAATATTTTCGCTGGTTTCTTGTGCTCTGGTGAAAAATATTTATCTTTCATATGTTACATTTTTTCTTGGCTCGCAATGCTCATCGAACTTTTTTAGAACTTTATCTATCTTCTTATCATCTCCCCGTGAATCCCAAACGAACGTGTCATAAACATCTAATGCTTCGTTTCCTATGACTGTTAGCAATGTCGCGACTCGAGTAGCTTCCTTCTTTTCACTAACGCCAGTCGCTATTTCGTAATTTAAATACCTCTGTTTGAATTTTTTCCAGTTTGCTGATATATTTCCACAGCTTAGATCCAACGCTTGAGGCGGTGTTAGACCAAATTGTGTCGCCATTTTTTTCTTTGTCACTCTCTAACTTTGGTCTGAAATCTCTCTGGGATTTCTGATTCTTTCTTCAAAATACTTTGATATTCCATTTAAATGATCCTCATACTTTTATCCCACACCTGACACCATGTTGTGTTTCTCTTCCATACTCAGGATTGATAGTGATTGTAAAGTATATTTCAAAATCTCTATGAAGATACTAGTCAGTTACAATGCCCACTGTTTATATATGCTGACCATAATTATACATGCTAATTATGTTAAATATGAAAAATATGCTCAATCATGTTACAGTGTTTTCATAATATATACGAAATTTCATAATCCTCTTTTAAAAACCAAATGAAATGTAGCGGAAAAACGATTTTGCACATAATTCTTGGACGCAATGTACAGGTCGTGCTATTGGTCGCACAGCACCATCAATAAATGCCCAACACTGTGTGAGTGGTGCACCTTGACAATGAATGGCTTGGGCAAAGCACTCTGGATCAAGCCAAACTAGGTCCAATGAGTCAAGGAGATGGCCAAAACGGTTATATATGTCATCTAATATCTATAAAATGAGAATAAATTGTTAGTTAAAGCTTAGTTTGAAATTTAACTGCCACTGTCAGTATAATTAAATACCTGGTTAAAAATCAAACTTAGTTGAGACTCACTCCTTCCAAAAATGCCTACCAAGTCACACCATCTGTTTGGATAGGCCAGACGCCTCAGAAGAATCATCAGAGCTTCCATACCAGAAGCTTTTGTCCTTTGTTCTGCTCGATAGTATGCAGGAATCCTTAACGCAGCAAAAAGGCGCAACATGTCTTCCTTGTGAAATCTAGTACGAGATTATCCCCATTTAGTATGTATGCAAGTGTTGTAACAAGTCTGTGGCAGAGTTTTTACAAGTCTGTTCACAAAAGATTTGTTCGCACTGCTTGCTCCAATTTGTTGTAACAATTTTGGAACAAGCTGTTAACAACTTGTAGCAAGTCCAATGGGACTATCAGACTTGTTACAAGATTGTTCTTACAAAATTGTCCCATCTCGTCAACAACAAAGTTTGTGAACAGACTTGCTACAAGATATGATATTTTTACGCGTGTACACTGGTACACTCTTGTTAAATCGCATCCCTCCCCATGGAAAAGTATTCAGTAAATAGTCACACGAAATAAATTTTACATATTGTATTCCAAACAAAATAACGAATCGCTCATTTCAATTTATTCTTCCAATATAAAGAGGTACCTGAACATTTTTTCACATTGCCAGTCGCTGAGATCTTCATTTCATTTCAAAATCCTCTATTGTGATTGACGAGCGATCCGTAAAAACCCGTATATCCGGACCGTGGTTCTAATAATTATTCTGTATCCGGACCAGTATCCCGGATGTCTCATGCCGCTCAGCCATATAATAAACAGATTATTGACCTCGCTTGTTCGGTCTGTACTGTGAATATTTTGCATGAACCTCGCTCCGTCATCGATCGGTCCATACCAAGGGGCTGTTTACATGAGCCCGGTTACCCGAAATTCAACGAAGCGTGAGAGGACTTTGAGGTATTGAAATAAGTCTTTATGACACCAAACAAGCACATGCTATTGTTGTGGTGATTATGCAACTGCCAGGATCATCTAATCTGCTCATTTCAAAACCTCAAAATCATCTCACGCTTCGTTGAATCTCGGATAGCCGGGCTCATGTAAATGCTCCCTAAAAAGCGTTGGTGTGATATTTCACAGTGTAGACCTCACGCTCGGTCAATAATCAGTTAGAATTGTCTGGATGCTGAGAGCAAAGAGCAGGAATTCCACAGCAGGAATTGCAAATTAATTTAAAAATAAACTTGCAGAAAAGCTAAATTTGACGTCATTCTTAAGATACGCTGGAATATATTTAACAACGTTAATTGGATCATACAATTACCCTGCAAGAGCTCGCTATAAATGTATATACCATCAGTGCAAATAGGAATAAACATCGTTCCAGAAGAGAAAATATGTGCTAAATTACACTACACTACATTACTTAAAGATAATCAATTAGCTACCGATATGTAACTTATACTGTATGAATTATATAGATACAGCACTAAACAACGATAACTGCAAAGTATGTTAGCATTATTCGATTTTAGTGTCATCAATTAAAGTGTGTTTCTCTGAACAGTCAATTTGACCAGCGTTTATATAGCAATTGATGCGACAGTTCTTCAGTAGGAATAGTCTACGGTTAATTTTTGTTATATTCTATATATGCTCTATTACATTGTTGAAATTATACACCTGGGCCAAACAACCATGAAACAAATATAGAATTTTGCTACATTATAGTCACAATATTTTAAAGTTGGCAGATGCTTAGTTCCCCCGCGATATGCTACAAATATTAATTTTAATACGCTAGTGAAACTTGTAAACCTATCCTCCATGAAATTTGCTTTACTGCTTTTAGGTTGTGTTGCCAGACTTGCTCAATCTTCGGCATGATCTTCGTCTGCCGTTATGACGAGCAAATGCTTATTAATTTGAATGATTTCATAGGCTATTCATTCAGGATTCGGACATTATTATTAAACTTCAAAATTTGACATGTTCCAATGGCAATCCGTTACCGTGCATGCATGTTTATAGGGCTTTAGTCTCTTGCAAAATTATAAACTGTCGGTAGTTTTAAACCACAAAGTTTTTTAACAAGCGATTTAAACCAATTCTTTGCAACCATGAAACTAGATAAATCCATAAACTAGCCTTGGTTATTAATGTTCGAAAAATTTGGCCAAAACAGTGTGTCATCAACATGTTTTATACATGTTGTCGGTAAAGGTTTTCGTTTCTCAATTCCTAAAAAAAATTAGTTTGGGTTTAATTATATCAAATTTTTCAAATTGTAAAACATTATACATCGTAAATATAACGCATTCACTGGTAATACGATAATTTCTGGTGGTGATTAAATATGAAGTCAAAACGTACATAGAATGATACCTTACATTACTCGTTACCGTTGTTTGGGCTTTAATGAAAATACTAGACTTCCCTTATAATATAGGTTATTATAATGTATACACTGGGTGCAGGAAAAGGAGTTTTTTTAGAAAAGAAATACTTTACAGATATTTCAGGTTAGTGCGATTGCATTGGTTGTAAAATAATCAGTTGAAACATTTTTTAGCATGGAAGAATTAGATAGTGGGTTCGATACCCATAATGCTGGCGTGTCGGTGGAAAACAAAAACGACACAAAAACAAAGGTAGAGCGATATCAAATTATCATAGCGCGTTAGTCACCTAAGCGATTTTTCAATTTGGGACCAAGTTTTTTTGGCAGAGTGACCAATGAAATAGCCATGAAATAGCCATGAAAGAGCCAGTAATTTCTAAAATGCTTTACTTAAAACAATTCATCCTTTTGGATTAAACAAGAACAATGTACGGGACGTTGCTTAGCTATATTTTGCATAAAACTTCGTTTTATTAAAATCGTCGTTAAGTTGTCAGATATCTGTTGACGTTTTTAAAAGAATGTAGGCCTATACTAATCTTCTGCAACGGATTTTTTTTCAAATAATCACGTACCTTAATTGTATTAAAACGCAATAATTATATTATTCGCCCCAAGCATAAAGCCAGTAGCGTAGCCAGCCTGCATGGCGTTTAGACCCATGCACTATCTCAGTAGCTATAGCTTAAAGAATTATGAAATAATTTTCTTCTTTCATGTACCATGCAGAAGGACCTAAATTTGGCTCCTTTTCTCACAAACCGCGTGTACGACATTGGTCGTGATAAAATGAATGGAACGAAAAATTAATAATATATAAAAAACACCCGACAAAATATTTTTTGCCTTCAAATAATGTTCGATTAATATATGATTATCGTTATAGTAAAATTATGTAAAATTCATACTTAGGAATATAAATTGGATTTATTATTCATCTACGATGCATGTCGAGCTATGATGTCCAATTTAGCTACACACTCGTGAGCAGCTAAACGCTCTTTTGGAACGGTTGACCAACAATCCTCTATAAGTGACCCATACTTTTCTGCAATACCCCCTACGGCGTTGCATTTTGGTCTGTAGCCATTTGTAATCAACTCGCGAAATCTCTTGAATGGCAGATTGTGAAGCTCACTGTAAACTACCTCACCATACCACATCTCCCACAAGATCAGCCCAAAACTGTAAATATCAGCACTGGCATCACAAATTTTGCCAGAAAATATTTCTGGGGCCATGTACACGGGTGTTCCAGCCATCGTTCCTGTAACTTCTGTTACATCCTTCGAAATACCAACATCAGCTATTTTCATGCAATTGTCTTTCCCAAACTGACAAATAATTTCAAAAAATATAATGAATAGAAGAATTACAATGAAAATATAATAAAAATATAACATTCATCAGTAGATAAAAACTTATATCAAACTACAATAATATATCACACGCCTCTTTTTGTAAAGTTTTTATTTACTGATGAAGCCCTAACCGATGAAGTCCTAACCGGCGAAACGTATAGACACAGATGAGGTATAGATCTATATTAAATATAATCCATACATGTCCAATACTGTCGCATGCATACGGATCGACAACCTTTTTCACCATTCGTAAACTACATTTTCGTTTCGTGACACTTTTCACGGATCGATACTGATGGTAAAACGGGACATACAAACGGACTGAATCCCGACTGACGTACGAACCGCACGAATGGAAAAAAAAAGTTACCATTTGTAAATTTATTAACGAGTGCGCTCCTTTGGAGTACGATATCCGCATACACGCACGAAACGACTGTCGATTCGTTCAATCAGTACCAACCGTACGAATGAAAAACTTTCATATACCAATCGTAAAAAATTAATCACAACACCGCTTCCGCTATACGTCTAACCTCCTGTGGAGTTACGATATCCCCATACATGAAACGACTGTCGATTCGTACCATCCGCACCAACCGTACGAATGGAAAACGTGCATTTACCAATCGTATAAATAACACCGTTTCCGCCATACGCATAGATCCCTTTTGAGGACGATACCATGCAATACACGAGTTTTTAAAATAACTCGCTAGACATCGCTTCAATATATTTTACCCAAGATATGCCTTATCAATACAATAGACTATTTACTGATATATAATATTCCTCGTTCTCAAGAAAAATATACGAGCGATATAACATGTTGTTATTAAAAGCCGCAAGATATCACTGCAATATAATTATATAGCGCACAAGATATGCATATCTATCAGTAAAATAGAATACTATATAGGTATATGTAGCATTCCTCGTTCTCATGACAAAAACAAGCGATATACGCGCATTTTCGATAAAAGCGATCAAACGCAAGCATTCTCGATAAAACCTGCATGCATGTATGCAATGTTCCCCGGCATGCAATAACTGTATATGCGTCATACATCACAAAGCTTTACTTTATACTAAATACATTCATGCAGCACTCAAGATAACCGCCTGTATATCAGTGTTACTTTGTATATGTAGCTAACATTCCTCGCTCTCAAAAAAAACCACCAACGATTAAATAGTGCATGTATATTTTTAATGGAAAACATTCATTTACCAACCGATATAGACATAGTCATAGATTCCCTTGGAGCAAAACACGCATTGTTAAAAACCCCCGCTAGATATCACTTCAATATATGGTACCCAAGATATTCCTATCAATACAATAGTCTAATTAATATTATAAAAAAGAGCAATATAACATGCATTGTTATTCAATCCGCAAAATGTTAATGCATTATATATAGCACACAACAAGATACGACTATTAGTAAAATAGAAATGTCTTTAAGTTAAAGACAAAACGTTAGAAATGTATTTTTTTAAACTCTGAATTGTTTTGATGGCTTTCATAATTTTATAATTATGTATGTTGGGCTCATGTTTATCATAAGAAGTCGTTTTCCGCCTGGCAAATCTCTAGCTACGATATTAAAATAGACTTGTTATATGTAGCTACTATAGCGACGAAACAATCCATTCGAAAAGACAAAAGGAGGGCAGCCGCGTTATTGAAAAGGAACAGCGTTAATTTAAACGTATCTTTAATTATCACAAATTGTTTTCGATCGACACCTTTTCGGGGACAAACCTTAGTCGCATCACTCGCATGGTGTTAAATTATTTTATTTACAAGTTGTTATTAGTGAGTTTTTCCATTGGTCTATACATTAATGGTGGATTTGATCTTGTTATCTATATCGTCAAGTATTAAATTTACTGACTTTTCCAAGTTCGCTCTTTGCAGGGTTGATGATGCGACATTTAGGATTCCTATCAAAGTTCATAATATACGTGCATAATACGTGCAGATGAAAACAAATGCTTAAACAAGCGCTGTGAACCGTTTTCAAAATGCCGCCCTAGGAACAAGTTTAATGCCTGAGAATTTAGGCGCGCGCACAAGCATAACCGCGTGAGAGACGAATAACCGTTGGTGCATGACGTAATCAATATGTTATTGACTAAGCGAAAGGTCGGTACAGGAGGATACTGGTCGAGTTCTTTTTTCGCTTGTATGGACCGAGCTTTTAGGCGAGGTCCTTACAAGCGAAAAAAGAACGAGACCAGTATCCTCCTGTACGGACCGAACAAGCTCAGTCAATAAACTATTTATTATATGACTAAAAACGATTAAAATTCCTGACTAAAAAATTCCCGCCGAACCTGGCCAGTCCGTACTGATGGTTTACCGACCGCTCAGGAACCAATCAGAATGCTTGATTTTAGTTGATGGACCGATCAACTATTCTAGTCATATAATAAAATATTTTATTATATGTGTATAGAGATTTATGCACAGCAGAATGATGAAATAAAAATCGTATTTCACTGTGTAAATTAATTTCATGCAATTTGATTGGACGTACAATGTTTTTCACGTGTGAAAAAATGCCATACACGGCTTTTGATTGGACGTACGATATTCTTCACACGTGAAAAATTGTCGTATGTCATTTTGGCGGCAGTTTGTTTACACTTTCTTTCAAGATAGCGTCGAAATATAGCAGTGAGATTCAAAACATAATTCTCATATTCAAGATATTTTTACATTCAGCACATCTCATATCTTTCGGGAAGAATGTCTAACTTCTATTGAACAAAATTACAAAGAAACTGAAGGGTAATAAATATGTTTTCATGCATAAAGTTTCGATTTTGTTGCTCGCTGTGTTTTTGTATATTAAAAGCGTGTCGTTGTCAAATTGATCTCTATACATATAACACATTTAGGGGCTGTTTACATGAGCCCTACAGGGAGGGCTAGCCCTACCTGTAGGGCTGGTTATCACCTCTGTTTACATGTAAAATTTTAGCCCTGAATCTAGGGCTGGGCCTTCACGCGCGTTTTGGCGCCAAATACAAAATGGCTGTCAACAAAAGAAAACGATTACTGCTTTTCGTTATTTCAGTGCAAATATCTTTACTTTTATTGATGATTTTCCAACAGTATACTTTTTTGCTGCTTTGGAAAATAAATGAGGAAAACCGCAACCGTCAACTTGTGTCATTGCTTTGGTCATGACGGCAAATACATTTGGCATTGCGATATGTACAGCTTCAAACATTATTTTTCAAGTATGCCAGACAATCTCAAATGTTCTTGGACCAAAGTATATTAGCTTACCCAAAACCACCAGTGAGATGAGACAGAAAGTGTCTGAATTTGAGGCAAAGTTTGGAATGCCGCAGGCATTTGGATGCATAGACGGTACCCATATTCCTATAAAACGGCCAATAAAAAACTCACAAGACTATTTTTCATACAAAGGGTTCTTTTCTCTGAACGCTCAAGCTGTATGCGATTATCGTGGTGTGTTTATGGATGTAGAATGTCGTTGGCCAGGTAGTGTACACGACGCAAAAGTGTTTGCGAATTCCTCAGTGAATCACAAACTCCGAGAAGAAAAGCTACCTAAAACATTTAAGACAATAATCCCTGGCTTTGAAAAGATTCCAAATTATTTAGTAGGAGATCCTGCCTATCCGCTCACCCCATACTGCATGAAGGAGCATGAAACATGCAACAGAAATGCTGAAGCTGTATTTAATGGACTTCTTCGTTCAGCTCGCAACCCAATAGAATGTGCCTTTGGTAGACTTAAAGCCCGCTGGTCTATACTAACTCGCAGTATTGATTTAAAGCTTGAATCCATACCACATGTGGTTTACTCTTGTTTTGTTCTACACAATTACTGTGAGCAGAACAAGAGTTACTGTATGTTGATGATGACATAGTCAGAAACCAAAAACAGCTATCCATGGACAATGAACAGGCTTACAAAAATGTGCCAGATCCAATATATTCATGCAATGCAGGGGAAGGTGAACTTATTCGAAGAATCATAACAGAAAATATTCAGGACAATCTTCCTGATGCAGTGTCAGGTTAAGTTAGCATACACATTACCAACACTTAGTGTACAGTTCTATGTCAAATATATTTGCATAGAATAAATAACTTTAATGTAACAACGCAAATAGAATATCCTATTGTTATACAAACTATTTTCTTTCTAATATATTGTTTGTTATATACTATAAAAGTTGAAACAGATGTTAATGATATTAAAACAAATCATCAAAATGTGAAGATGGAATAAAAACGTTGACAAAATATAACAATAACAGCAGAATTTTGTGACAATACATAAGTAAAATGGGCCTTGCTAAAATCCAGTTCTTTCATGAAGCAAATAAACAACAGTGATGTCAAAGGACTAATAATAATAATAATAATAATAATGTAATAATAATAATGTTTAATTGATCAATTTTTGCAGTCTTACGACTGAATTGCAATTGAATTTACAGGCAAAGAATTTTAGATAAAATATGGAATATGTTTACTATATTTACAACATGTTGCTATAAAATTCTATTAAATTTAAGATTACTGTAAAATGTTCCGCTACGATAAAGTATTAATACTAAGACTATACTAATATGCTTAAAGTTTTGATTTTTTCGCATAATTTGGGATAAAAGAATTCAATAACCTATTCGTATTAATAATGGGAAGATTAAATCTTCTCAGTTTTCTAAAATTATGTGTTGGTAAGTTTTCTTTAGGTAGTAAATGGCGTAATTTATGATCATCTTTTGTTTCGATGGACGAGAATAGCTTTTGTGATAACTTTTCTCTTCTGTCCTTCAGTGTTAATAATTTTGCTTCCTTTAATGCGACTTTTGGACTTGATTCCGGGTAGATTATCCGCAAGGCTCGATTTTGGACACGTTCCATATCCACCGACAAATAATCAGGAAGGCCTGAGTGGAAAACTTGGCAACCG